AAAACTAAACTCACTGCTATTGAGTCAATGCTGGCTCACAGAAACCCAAAAGGTGAACAGTTGGAAACCAACCACCAGCTGCTGAGAGGGAGAAAGAGGTGGCTTTCTACTCTTTCTACTCCTGTAAAGAGTTAGTTTTGGAAACCCACAGAAGCAGTTCTCCTCTGTCTTATAATAGGACCACTATGAGTGTGTATATTTGTGTGTGTGTGTGTGTTAACCTTAATGTATGCTGTTGAGAGTGCAGTGGGTACAAGTTAAAGAATTTTTATAATGGAATTGGAGCTAACAATCAACAACCTCAAGGTTTTGTAAAAAAAAGTATTCTTTTACTTACACCATGGCTTAAATTTTTATTATTTAGACAGAAAAATAATGTCTTTTAACTAATAAGCTCCCCCCGCCCTTGTCCTTTTCCTTGTAGTTTACCCTTTCTCAATAATTTGTTCCTATTTAGTACATTGGAAATGAGTGTCTGTTGCCTTGAGAGTGTCACAGCGGAACATTTTTATATATTCTTTTTTCCCTTGCTTGAAACATTGTAAATTGGGTGAGGGATTGCATTTCATTTTGTATTCAACAATTTGAACTATAAATATTTCACCTCTCCACCCACCGCCTCAAAGAACTCTCACCTTCCATCTCCTCCTTGATTACTTCGGTCTTGACTTTCTCTTCCCTTTTGGCCTCTTGCCCTTGCTAGTCCTCAGAGTTTGTTCCCTTTTGTCTAAATCTCCCTCTCTCGTTTTTTAGATATAATTTTTCACTTATAATAGTGGTCTCATATAATATTTGTCCTTTTTTGATTGAGTAATTTCACACAGTATGATGTTCTCCAGATCCACCCATCTCATCAGATGCTTTATGGTTTTATTGTTTTTTGTTTTTTTTAATCATTTTATTGGGGCTCATACAACTCTTATCACAATCCATATATACATCAATTGTGTAAAGCACACTTATACATTTGTTGCCCTCATCATTATCAAAACTCGCTTTCCGCTTGGGTTCCTGGAATCAGCTCCTCATTTTCCTTTTTCCCCTCTCCCTCCCTCCCCGTTTCCCAGTCCCTCATGAACCCTTAATAATTTATAAATTATTATTTTATCTTATCTTAAACTGCCCGGCATCTCCCTTCACCCACCCTTCTGTTGCCCATCCCCCAAAGAGGAGGTTATATGTAGATCCTTGTGATTGATTCCCCCTTTCTACACCCACTTCCCTCCCGGTATCGCCACTCTCACCGCTAGTCCTGAGGGATTCATCTGTCCTAGATTCCCTGTGTTTCCAGTTCCCATCTGTACCGCTGTGCATCCTCTGGTCTAACCAGGTTTGCAAGGTAGAATTAGGATCATGATAGTTGTGGGGAGGAAGCATTTAAGAACTAGAGGAAGGTTGTGCGTTTCATTATTGCTACACTGCACCCTGAGTGACTAATCTCCTCCCCACTACCCCTCTGCAAGGGCTGTTCAGTTGTCCTCATCACACGCTCCCCTCATTCATGATGATATGATTTTTTTTACCCCCTGCCTTTGGTGCTTGAAACCTGGTCCCCTCGGCCATTCATGATCACACATGTTGGAGTGCTGCTTCCATGTGGGCTTTGTTGCTTCTGGGCTAGATGGCCGCTTATTTACTTTCAAGCCTTTAAGACCCCAGACGCTATATCTATCGATAGCCGGGAACCATCACCAAAAAAAAGTATTTATTTTTAAAAAACAATCATGACTGGGTCATCTGCCTTGTGATTAAATCAATCTAGAGACCAGTTTTCACAATGCTTGTTTATATCCAGCTGTTTTGATATCTTCCAATAATTTAGGCAAGTCTCCCTTAAATATTCACCCAGGAGAAAATAACCACACACATTTGCCCCTTATCTAAAGATTTTTAATTTCTAAGTGTTTCACTTTACTTGTATAGGCTCCTCATGTGGAAGCCCTCACCATTCTCGGTTCACTTGTTTGCTTTCCAAACACCTACCAAAAGATCCCACTTCTGCAGTCAGTGCCAGAAGTTAATGAAGTTGTCAGAGGAACCGACGATATCAAGGTAACAATCCACTATGCTGAATCTCAAGTTTATCGTTTTAAAATTATAATTGTACGATTATCATTTCCATTATCATGTCTTGATCTCCTTATCCCTGAAGTTTTGCTATCTACCTAAAATTTTGAGTAGTTGATTTTAGGAGGTAGAAATGTATTAGTTCACAATCTATTGCAGTTACAACTGATAATTACTTTCTTCAAATGGTCTTTATAAGATCTTTTTACCATTTCTATGGGTTATAATTATATAATGAGTAACCCTCAATATTAGTTTGATTGACTTAATTATGCTAATTTAGAAAAATCTGTGAATTTAAAAATGATTGACATGATTGTTCAATCTATTGTTGACTTGATTATATGCCATTAATAATATGAAATTACAAATTATTTCTTGCTGAATAAAAAAGTAAACATTTTTTTCTACTTAATTAACTTTGAGGCAAAGAAGAAAAGCTTTTAAGCCCAGAATTACCTACCTATCAAAAATGTATGATTTTAATATGTAATATGATATTTCCAATTAAAATCTAAAGGAACTGAGATTATTCTACCTAGAAATCTCATTTGCTTTGCTAGATTTTCATTGTAAACCCTGAGTACTCTACTCTGGAATTATGCTCAGTTGTCCAGAGAAGCTCTTGCTTAGACTTCCATCACACTGTCCTGTCCCTACCACTTCCTATGAACTTCCCTAGATAGCCTTTGAGTACCATGATCAGTCAAGAGCTCCGGACCTACCTGGACCATTAGCAGAATGAATAAAGAACCAACTCTTAAAACTAAGTTTTTATTTGACTTAATTTGTGTTTCAGCATTACCTCATAAATATTTTACTGAAGAATGCTATGGAGGAGCCAAATGAATGTGCAAGGTAAATGTTGAACAGAAGGTCAATTATTTTATAATTTTAAGATTCACATTTATGTGTAAACACTTAAAAAAACACACTTCCCTTTTATCCTGATACATACTAAACAAATGTAATATAAATCACATCAGAAAAATTTCATTACTTGATTATTTAAAATGGCAACATTGCTAAATGGAAAGAGTAAGGTAAATAAAATTATATAGAGTGTTGTTATCATCTGTGTATAAAAGGAAGGAAGATAATAGGTATATGTAGCTGTGTTCCCTGATATTTCCTAAGAAGAAACAAATGGTCAATATCCAAGAGAAATGTTTACCTATAGGATAGTAGTTCTCAACTAGAGGTGATTTTGCCCCCCAAGTGACCTTTGGCAATATGCAGAAACATTTTTGTTTACTCTGGAAGGCACCTGAGGTTGCTAGCAGTCTGCAAGCAAGGTATGAGTTTTGTGGACCACATACAGGATGAAAAGGTTGTACCTTCAAGGGGGATCCTAAAATTGGGAATACCAATGGAAGAAATACCAGTCTCTGCTCTTCAACCCCCAACCCTACAAAGCCAACAGAAGCCCAAATCCACCTGCCTCCTGGGAATGCTCTGCTCTGTCTATAGACTCATCTCAAGATAGTTCAACTTTCTTTACTGTCATGTTAACTCATTAATGACTTTAAAGATGTAGGGTTTTGTTTGGTGTTTGTTTAACTTCATGAATGGCTTGGTCTAAATTACCTAGTTTGACATTACCAGAAGCTGTAAATTGATAATCCATGTTCTAATATTAAGCTAACCTTGCATTTTGGGTTAAACTTAAATTGATTTATGTAGTGCTAGAACCAATTTGGCTAGTATTTTGTTTAGGAAAATTTTTACAACCTATCCTTAGGAGCCCTGGTAGCACTGCGGGTTGAGCATTGGGCTGATGACCATGAGGTCTGCCATGTAAATTCCCTAGCTCCTCTCTGGGGGAAAGATGAGGAGTCCTTCCACAAAGATTTAATCTCAGAAATCCAAAGAGGCAGTTTTATAATTTTCTATTATTTCTCTATGAGTCAAAATTGACTTGATGGCAGTTTGTTTTTTTTTTAATCCTGTTTGTGTGAGATTTGGTCTTTTGCTTTTTTTATGTTTAGCCTGTTGTATTGTTTTTTTCTTATTATAGTGTATACCTAGTGTATTAATAATTCTAAACTTTTCTTCTATACAGCTACAGGTTTCCCTTCATATCCAAAAGTAAAGCATTCATATGAAACTTTTCTTAAAATAAAATTTTTGTAAAGCAAAGAAGCCATCACCACTAATTTTGAAAATTTCCAGACCTCTAAAATATACTACCAAATTATACATAAAACTTAAAATACCATGAACATAGAGCGTTCATATATATAGTTCAGCACTACAATACCTTCATGCTGAAATGCTGAGTGTAAGTCACAAGAAAGGAAGGTGCATGACAACGTTGTTCTTGCTACTTGGAGTGCTTGCTGCCTCTCTACTGTTTGCAGCAAAACAAACACTGAACATCATTTTCACTTTTCACCAAGTGTTTTAAAAGTAAATTTTTGTTTTTCAGATTTCTTTTGGTTAGTGAGCAACTAAGGAAAGTTAGGCTAACCACAAGGTCATCAGTTCAAACCCACCAGCTGCTCTGCAAAAGAAAGATAAGGCTGTCTGCTGCCATACAAATGGAACTGCCTCCGAAACCCTGTATGCGGATGCTCCTCCCAAAATGAATAAAGCTCCGCTGGGCACAGCTTTCATAGTACGCGTTTTTCCTGCTCGGCGAACATCAAGCAACTTGCTCTGAGTTAATGCCCCCAGTGGTGTCACCTGGGAAGGTTCTGTCTGGTCACTGAATTTTTTGTAAAAGCAGTTTCACTTGAATCTTAATTTTTGTGATGGCTGATTTAAGAAAACAGTGTGCTGCTGTGAATTTTTGTTTCCTACTCAGGAAAAATGTCACAGAAACTTTTGTGGCGTTAAACATAACTTATAAGATCAGCACTATGGGAAAAACTCAAGTGTACAAGTGGTTTTCTGGTTTCAATAATGGTGAAATGTCAATTAATGAAAAACCTCATTCTGGATGTCTGTCAATCCTAAATGGACTAAAATGCCAACTCATAGTGCATTTGGAGTTTGTTGCACCAGGTCAGACTTTTAATTAAGCTTTCTGTTTAGTGCAGCTATTCTCAACCTGTGGGTCGCAGCCCCTTTGAGGGTCAAACAACCCTTTTACAGGGGTCACCTAATACATCCTGCATATCAGATATTTACATTATGATTCATAACACTAGCAAACTTACATTTATGAAGTAGCAACAAAAATAATTTTATGGTTGGGGGTCACCACAACATGAGGAACTGTATGAAAGGGTGGCAGCATTAGGAAAGTTGAGAACCACTGATTTAGAGGTTCTGAAAAGATTGCATAACAGTGTGCGACAAAAAAGGCCTGATTTCTGGCAGTCGGGGGGACTGGTTTTGCCACCGTGACAATGCACCTGCTCACACAGCCATCTCAATGTGCTAGTTTTTGACAAAAACAACATGCCTCTCTTGCCCCATACATCTTACTCACCTGACCTCACTCCATGTGACTTCTTTTTGCTTCTGTGAATGAAGAGGGACATGAAAGGACAGCAATTTGACGATGTAGAAGAGGTAAAGAAAAAAATGAGGGAGGTGCTGTGAACTATCCGAACAGAGGAGTTTAAAAAATGGTTCCAAGAATGGAATCGCAGATTTGACAAATGTATTAAGTGTAATGGGGAGTGGAGAGTACTTTAAAGGTGATAAGGTTGTTTTGTAAAAAAAAAAAATTAAATACATAGTTTTGAAAAAATAATACAGTTTTGGGGGGGTACGCCTCATAGGATCAAGTCAAAATCTACTTGATGATACTAGATTAATGTAGATCTTTGTAAAGGTGAAATGGCATAAAATGAACTTTCTGAAAAGTAAGGATACCTGTATATGTTTATTTTCAGATTCCACAGATTGTGATACGTAATATTTTTATCATTTCATGCTAAAATTTTCTAATTTCCATTTTTATTTAGTGATATGCACACATATGGATGCAGAAAGTAAAATAATCATTGTAAAAATAAGCATGACTGTTAAGTGGTGGAAAAAATATATCGATAAGTCTGAAAGTGCTGCTTTTAGAATTCCAATTTATATATGCTTGGGTTTATTTAAAAAAAAACATGTTTAAGCACATTTCTGCAATCAAGGGATGCCTGCAGACAAGTTTTCTAAATCCTCTTTCCTTAGTCTCATTAGAATTCCTTTTTAAAAAAGGGATACTTTTTGTGCCATGAATTTAAGTGATTTAAATTCAAGTTAATATCTTCCAAAATCGTTGATTTGCAACAAGTTTATGGGAATGATGTTCCACATAAACAACAGTTTTTAGTTGCATCAAATTATCTGGGCTGCAATCCAAAAGGTCCGCAGTTCAAAACCACCAGCCATTCCACAGGAGAAAGACTGGGCTTTCTAAACCTATGAAGCAGTTCTTTGCCCTATAGGGTTGCTGTGAGTTAGAATGGACTGGATGGCAGTGAGTTAGTTAGTATTTAGTTAGTTAGTTAGTTAGTTAGTTAGTTAGTTAGTTAGTTAGTTAGTACAATGAGTAAAGAAAAGCAGTTCTAAACTCAAAAGCATCAGTGTTTTCTGATTAATGTTTTTAATTCTTCCTCAAAAATGCTTTAGAAAATAAAATGTAACCGAATGTTTCAATGAAAATAAGTGATAAATATTTTAAAAACTAAAAAAAAAAAAAGGTTTAAAAAGATTAAGTAATAACTAATGTTAAGGTTTCTATTTGTCCTCAAAATTGACATTATAAAGGTACCTTTCCTTTTTCTCAAGACATTTTTATGGATATAAGTATAAGGTTTGCTATATTGTATAAAAACAAGTATTTTCTCATTAAAAAAAACATCTTAAGTTTAATGATAGTTTTCCTCTTTCTAAAAAGATGCATTGCCATTTGCTCTCTCGGGGTCTGGATTTGTGAAGAACTTGCACAGTGTACAAGGCATCCCCAGGTGAAAGAGGCCATCAATGTGATAGGCGTAACTCTGAAGGTATTGCCAATTTGTGTTGCTTATTTAACATTAAGGTATCTCCTAGATATAGAAATCAATTTTAGCTTCCATTAGTGCTATCTTTGTTTTCCCCTATATTACAGAGAGGTTGTCATTCAAATTTCTTTTTTTCTAAATGTCATGTGGAATGTGCTATGAGGTTCTCAGGAGAGACCATAGGAGTTAGCTTCCTCACCAAGAACGTGGGCATTTCCAGACCAATCTTTGGTGCCTGGTACCCTGGTCCCTCTGGGTATCTCTCATGACTAGCTAACTCCGGGGCAAGGAAGAAACGTATTACCTGTCTGATAGAGTCACAAGAAAATATGCTTTCATGCCCTGGCCTTCACAGCAAGACCAGAGAAGGCCTCAGTGATTTCCAGTCAGCGTTCTTTAAGGCTCACCATCTGAAGACTAAACCTGGAGCATTTCTAGGACCTCCTTTCTTCCACTGTTTATGCGAAGAGCAGTTATTTTGGGAACACTTCATATGGAATTATGTTAATGATAAGCTCTCTAAATACTGTTGTCAGACTTCACCATAACTCGGGAAGGTAGATGTTACAATTCCTATTTTTATGCCTAGTGAAACAGGCCCAGAGAAATCAAATCACTTACCTAAGGCCAAGCAGGAAAATCAGATCTTATAAACACACCTGAGCTTTTTACCTGGATTGATAGATAGACTGCCAGCCCTTTCCTGGGCCCTGCTTAGAAGTAGTCATGACAATTAACATTGCTGTTCTTCTAATTCTAGAACAAGAGAAGCACTGTGTTGGGTGAGTTTGAGGTAGTTTAGACTCACAGCATACCTGTGTACAACAGAGCAAAACAAGACTCCGTCCTGTGCACCCTCACCATTGTTCTGTCAGAGGCCAGTGTTGCAACCACAATAGCAGTCCACCTTGTTGGCAAGTGTTCTTCCTCTTCACTGACCTACCTCATCAAACAGGATGTCCTTTTCCAGGGACTAGTCTGTCCTGAGAACACGAGGTGAAACCTGTCCATCCTCGTTGCTAAGGAACATTCTCGCGTATATCTTCCTAGACTGATTTGTTGGTTTTTATGGCAGTCCCCAGTACTTTCAATATTCGGTGCCAACCCCATATTCTAATATATCCGTTTTTGGTTTTTTTTTTGGTCTTCACTATTCATCGTCTTGTTTTCATGTGCTCTTGAGGCTATTAAAAGTGCCAGTCACACCTTAGTCCTCAAAGTGACATCCTTGCTCTTCAACACTTAAAAGTCTACTGGAGTAGAATTGCCCAGTGTGGTGTGTCGTCTGATTTACTAATTGATGTTTCCATAGTATTAATTGTGAATCCAAAAATAACTAAGCCCTTGGCAACTTCGGTCTTTTCACCATTTATATTTGTCCAGTTGTGAGGATGCTGGTCTTGTTTACTTTGAGTTGTAATCCATACTGAAGACTACAGTTATTGATCTTCATCAACAAATGCTTTAAATCTTTTTTTTTAGCAAGCAAGGTTATTGCATCTACAGGTTGCTGTTAACCCTTCCTCTAATCCTGATGTGTTATATTTTTCTTAATATAGCCCAGCTTCTTGGATTATTTGCTTAGTATACAGATTGAATAAGTATGATGAAAGGATACAACTGTGATGTATGCATTTCCTGATTTTAAACCACTCAGTATTCCCTTGTTCTACAAAAACAATTGCCTCTTGAACCATGTATAGGTTCTATATGAGCACAATGATGTGTTCTGGTATTCTCATTCTTTTCAATGGTAGATTCAGGAGGGTATCGTTTGTTATGATCAACCCAGTTTAATGCCTTTGCATAGTCAGTAAAACACAACTAAATGTCTTTGTGGTATTCTCTGCTTTCAGCCAAAATGCATCTGACATCAGCAATGATATCCCTCTTGTCTTCTTCTGACTCTAGTACCAATTCCTGTCAGCTCCCTTCAGTATTCTATCAATGTACTGCAATTGTTTTTCAAAACAAAATATTTCTTGCACATGACAGTAATGATATTGTTCCATAATTTCTACACTGTGTTGGATCACCTTTCTTTGTAATGGGCACAAATATGGGTCTCTTCTAGTAAGTTGGCGAGGTAACTGTCTACCAAATATCTTGGCACAGACGAGTGAGTACTTCCAGTGCTTCATCAGTTTGTTGAAACATTTAAATTGGTATTATCAATTAATGGAGATTTGTCTGCACTAATGCCTTCAGTGCAGCTAGGACTTCTTTGTTCAGTGCCATTGATTGGAGAGCATATGGTACCTCTTGAAATAGATGAATGTTGAATTTTTGGTACAATGATTTTGTATATTCTTTTGCTTTTTTGATGCTTTCTAATATTAATATTTTGCCCATAGAATCATTCAGTATCGCAATTCAAGGTTTGAGTTTTGGGGATTTTTTGCTTCACTTCTTTCTGCTGGAGATATGCTGAGGGGTTCCATCGTGTAATGGTTAGCACTCTGGACTCTGAGATATGCTGAGGGTGTCCCTCTTTTTAGCTTCTAATTCCAGTCTTTGCACAGTTCATTATACTACTTTACTTTGTCTTCCAAACTGCCCGTTGAAATTTTCTGTTCATCTGTTTTATTTCTTCCATTTATTTAACTACTTCATGTTCAAGACTAAGTTTAAGAGTTTCTTCTGGTATCTTTTCCTTTTCCCCTCCATTTCTAATAACAATTTGTTTCCTTCATGTTCTTGATGTCATCCTATATGACAACAGGTCTTCTGTCATTAGTGTTTATGGCATCAAATTTGCTCTTGAGATGTTCTTCAAATTCAGATGGTATATAATCAAGGTCATATTTTGTTCTTACAGACTTATTTTAATTTTATTCAGTTTCCACCTGAACTTGAAAATGCACAGTCAATGGTCTGTTCCACAGTCAGACCCTTCCTTGCCTAATTTTGACTGCTGTTAATGAGCTTCTCCATCATCTCCTTCCACAGATGTAGTCAACTTGATTCTGTCTATTTCACAAGCAAGTTCATGTGTATAGTTACTGTTTATATTGCTGAGAAAAGATATTTTCTATGAAGAAGTTAGTGATCGTGTATTTTTTTTATTAATTGGCAGTAATACATGTATCAAATCATTCCATAGTTCAATCATATCTACTGTGATCATCCGCTTCATTTCTGTCAAAAAAGCTGTATCTTCCAACTAGTATTCCTCTTTGTTTTAATTTTCTATATTCCATTTGCTAATAAATATCACTGCATCTTGATATCCTGTTTGATCAATTCAGATTGAAGACTTTGGTAGGATTTGTCAATTTTTTTATCACTAGGATTGGAAATTCTTGCATAGTTGTGTTAACTGGACTTCCTTTTGTATATAGAAACTACCCTAACCCAGACAGGGTTTTATTTGAAGATAAATTCTGAAAAAAATGTTTGGTGATGAAAGCGATATCATAGGTCTTGAATTTGGCATTATTGATATAATAAACAATAGGATTATCTGATTTTAAATGGCCAATAGCCATCAATTTCAGCTCACTAATGGCTAAGGTATCTATTTTTATATCTCCACTTCATTTTTGATGACTTCCAGTTTTCCTAGATTGATACTTCAGACACTCCAGATCCTGATTGTTAATGGATACTGTTCAGCAGTTTCTTCTCATTTTGAATCATACTCCATCAGAAATGAAGGTCTCAATAACTTTATCTACATCAATATGAGAGGCTCATCTTATGGTACTATGTCTGACATTGTTCCTCTGGTATTCATTAAGTTTTCAGTGACTAATTCCTTTAAAGTGGACAGCCTATTTCTTCTTTGTCATCTTTTTTTAATCTGAAAGCCCTATTGAGCCCCTGTTATCCTTGTTGACCCTGTTGGTGTTTGAGATACCAGTAACAAAGCTTCCAGCATTTCAAGAACAAACATGCCATTATAGTATGGCAAACCAACAAGAGTCCTTAATATTATTATGGAAATATATGGAAGAGAATAAAAATGGAGAGCAGGATGAGAGAGAATTCCTTTGGATGGATACAATATCCTCATAGAGGAAATGGTCTAAAAGATGTAGTGGTATCATCCACATTCAACCTGAGAAAAGAATGTCCCAGGCACAACTGAGAGCAGGTACCAGGTGCAGACACTTTGCGGCATAAATAAAAGTGTCTGAGCAGTGGAACAAGGTCAGCAGGAATCATGTCTCCCACAGTCTGGATGGCCAGAGTGAGACTAAAAGAGTCCCTTCGTGCAGATATTCTCACCATGGGTTTACATAGTTTTAATTTTCAAATGATTAGATAACAGCTACTTATTTCTAGATTGTTATGTGGATGAACAACAAAAAGCAAGTACAGAATGATCTTGTATAAACTCTGGTAATAGGACATAATTATTCATCAGTTTAATACAAAGCAAACATAAAATGCTATATATTTTTTTCCTAAAGAATAACTTATTTAGTTACGATGTTTGGTTTTGGGTTTTGTATCCTTTATAGTTTCCTAACAAAACCGTGGCTCAAGTAGCTTGTGATGTTCTTCAGTTGCTGGTTTCCTACTGGGAAAAGCTTCAGATGTTTGAAACATTTCTGCCTAGGAAAATTGCAGAAGTAAGTACCTTCTAAGTTTTATTCCCTATAATATTAAAACATAAGCATTTCCTTTTATTATATTTGAAAATTAATTATAGACACTCAAATGACTGTTACAGATCATACTACAAAATTTCTGTTAGAATAAATTCTTTTAAAATTAAATTGAATGGTTCTTTTCTGTTGTGATATCAGGCATTACAGAAAGAAGTCCCCAGTTTTCCAGGGCAGAGCCATATACTTGGAGAATTTGAAAATCAGGCACAACCACAACAAAGAACCTTTTTGTAAACAGAGCTTCATTCATGAATAGCAGTTTGATTGGTTCCAAAAAGGAATAGACAGCTATTTACTATCTCTTTCTTGGCAAGGGTGGGTTGTCTAAGAACAGGAGTTTCCCCGCAGCTGAAGCCCTGTACCACATTCTCTGCTATAATTTGGAATACCCTCCTGTAATGACATGACTAATAGAATAACTTCCCTGGGGGTGGGGAGCAGGGGGCAGTGACTGGTAGAGGAGAGGTATGGAAAGAGCAAGTAGAATCATCTCAAAAGTTAAGGCTCTGGAGGCTGGTTACATTTATAGGGGCTTTGTCCTCACCTGGCTTCATAAATGTCAAGTGGTAAGCCACATCCATCTCTGGAAGCTTTTATAGCTGCAGTTTTTAAACCTTGCCCTATTGTTTACACATCCAGTGGTAACTTTTTGAGTAAATTTGACTTGTCCCCAGGTGGTTTTTCAGGGAGAGAGAAGAAGCAATATTGATTTTATTTTTCCATCTCTCTCAACCCTAGACAAATTTCACTGGTAAGATCACTTTGTTATCTCAAGGATACATGACCTTGAGTGGCCTAGAGTGAAATGGGTTTTGGGGCATAGGACTATAAAATGCTACCGAATATGAAGTTGAGTTTTAGGGCAACCAAATAATCTGTCATCTAAACAAGGATGCTTTTGATGATGAAAAAGTGCTATTCTACCAAGACAGCAGGTGGAGACATGGAGTAACATAAGCAAAATAAATGGGAGCATTTTCAGTGCAAAAGGTGAGAAGGTTGAGGGTGGAAATTGGATGAATGCACAGAGAAGTGTTAGTTCCTTCCTCTGGGTCCTCTAACAGTAGAGAACATAGTCCGTAATCCTCATAATTTCTGGATAATACATTGGTCTTTATATTATCTGTTGAGTGTACCCTGATCTTTAATAGCTCTTTGCTTTGATCACCTTCTCATGCATTGGCATTAAACAGGGTTTAGTTGCAAGGCCATCTTGGAACTCCAAAACTATTACTATGAATTGTTTGACTAGGGCTTTATTTTTTTTTTTTATGCAGATCCTTGTGGCCACAATTGCTTTTCTTTTGCCAAGTGCAGAATACTCCTCATCAGAAACAGATAAGAAGGTAGGTAACATATTAGCTATTTTTTAAAATATAAGAATAATAAAAATATGAGATATAGTAAAATTGAAAAGACTGCTCTATACAGTAATTACTTTTTCTTCCAGTTTATTGTTTCTCTACTCCTTTGCCTCTTGGACTGGTGCATGGCATTGCCAGTGCCAGCCCTTCTTCACCCGGTGTCAACAGCACTCCTGGATGAGCAGCACTCGACTAGAGCTCCCTTGTTGGATTACATCTACAGGGTAAGTGCTCATTTCTCCTCAAGGGTGATGTAGACCCAAATTTCATAAGATTATTATATGTTTGATGTACTTATTGAGATGTTCTCTGAAAAGGATCTTTATAGGTTAAATATTTCACAAGATAAATATAGTAGAATTAAAAGTATTAAAAACAGAAGATATATGTAGAGAGAGAGAGATGCAGTGGTTACCTGATTAAAGATACATGTTTTCGCATGAGTATAAAGGAAGTTATTGTTCAAAATCCCCCAGTGTTCATGGAACATAATATATATCCACTTAATTTAAGAAAAAGCTCATCCAGAGCATTAGCTTGACAAAAAGTCCAAACCTGAGGGATTTGTTTACTTGATATAATATTAAGAAAGAAATTAAGGAAATATAGTACACCAGGTAAATAGTTCATAATTTTTATAGTACACAAAGTATTCTAATTCCATCTCCATAACCAACACCAGTCCCAATTAATAGACATGGTCTTTGTCCTGAGCCAATACAGAAGGTCCAGGGTAAAGACTATGTTGTAGTGGTTATGAGCTGGGCTACTAACTGCAAGGTCAGCAATTTGAAACCACTAGCAGCTCTGAAGAAGACAGTGGGGCTTTCTACTCCTATAAAAGTTAGTCCTGGAAACTAACGGGAGCTATGAGTCACATCAACTCAATGACAGTGAGTTAGGTTTGAGGATTTTGGAGTGGTGGTGGTCATGGGATGTGAAATACAGAAGGCCAAGAGCAAAGACAATGTCTCTCTCTTGTGAAAACCTTGTCTATCTGTTTTTCCATATATCTAATCTATCTATCTTGAATGTCTGTGTCCATGCAAGAATTACTATTATGCATTGATAATTCCATTGCCTATTTTTCAGTCACAAAACCTTAATTAAAAAATACAAATTACTCACTGAGTAGTTTGTTGTTTTATTTTTAAATGTATTCAAATTTTAAATTACAAAAACACTTAACCATGTGTGAAATGCTACTAAAAGGTATATGTTTTAGATTGTCAGAAGTCAAAAATATTGATAGAATTATGTCAGGAATAACTAGATCTTTCTGTTATTCTGTGACTTATAAACCTATATTAAACTTGGGTTGATTACATTAGTCACAAATATTTTCATTCATCCCTTCTAAATTATTTCTTTATAAATCTTATAAAACTTCTCTTAGAAACTGGGAGGCCTGGTGGTATAGTGGTTACGAGTTGGTCTGCTAACTGCAAGGTCAGCAGTTCAAAACCACGAGCCATACCACAGGAGAAAGACGAGGCTTGCTACTTCCATAAAGACTTAAGCGTTTTGGAACCCACAGAGGTAGTCCTACCCTGTCATATACGATTGTTTTTAGTTGGAATTGACAATTTAACAGTGACTTTGGTCTTGAGTTTCTCTTAAAAATTGCTTTACCGATCGAAATGTTATCTCATGGTTAACCTGATTTAAGACCCCGATGAATTTTCTCTCCAATTCAAAGATGGAACATTCCTAGCATCCAAAGAGCCCCCATTGTGCCTTCTCCTGGTCACCATCCCTCCTGTGCATACATCCATGGGTACCACCATATGAACCATCCACAGCATACATTCGTTTTGCCTTGTTTTGAACTTTATGCAAATGGAGTCATATCAACCATCCTGTTGTGAATAGTTGTAGATTTTTTCCAAACAAAACACGTTTTAACGTGTGCCTGTGATTAGAGATGGCTATAGACAAGTTTTCTCAATAGTTCACGTATCTTAGTCTCATTAAGGTATCTTTTTTTAAAAGGCTCTAATCAAAATAGTGGCTTCCAAGGGGATCTACGGGGTCTATTAAATTCAAGGCAGAAAGGTCATTCAGAAGGTTATAAGGTGATAGTGACTGGGGGGATTCCAAAGAAGTAATCTGGATAGATGTTCTCGAAGGACGCAGAGCAATCATTTAGGCCTAGTTAGGAAGAAACTTTCCAAAATTAAGAACTACATCAGAGAGGGGAAAGGCCAGGAATTGCACCAAAGAATTCCCTTCTCTCTCAGGCGTGCACCTACTCATTCTTCAAGGGTAGCAAGGGCTGTCCTATAAGAATTTTATTGGGAAACTTTACCTCTTCCACCCTCTTGCCCCTTTAAACTTGTTTGTTCCCCAAACTGGAAAAAACAAACAAATAAACAAACATATAAGAGTATCATAATTTGTGCCCCTCAAGGATGTAGAAACTGCCATTTTGGCATGAAATAAATCAAAGAGCACAATTATTTAGGGGAAGGGTTAGAGAGATGTGAACACCATCAGAAATATACAAACATTGATGGGGGATATATCAAGAAACAATAACTTCATATTTTGATAATTTTGTTTAGTAATAAGGTTTCTGTGATTTTGTAGCAATTCTTCTTTACTTCTTTTATGTAGTATTTCACAGTGTGAATAAACAATTTATTCCACTACTGTTTGGCATTTCAGTAGCTTAGAGTTCTATACCATAAAAATGGACTTCAATGAACATTCTAGTACATGCTTTTTGATATAAAAAGGATGTTTCCCTGTAGTTTCTAAAATATTGCCTTGATTTTCATAAAATATCATTTTTGCTTGCTCTCTTGGATTTACATATAATTCATTACAACTATTACTTTATTTATACATTTCTGGATACTCCAGGTGATTTGTGTAAGCTTAGCTTATATATATACACAAAAGCTCCAACACAAAGCTCTATACACAAGAACTTAATTTCTCTTTAGTCTGTTCTCTTTCTATATTCCTAGGAATAAAATTAATTTTTTTGAAAACATATACTCTGTTTTGGTAGAGAATGCCAAATAATTTTTCAAAGTAGCTGAACTAATTTTCACAGTCACTAATACTATCTGAGAGTTGCAGCTACTCCACATTTTTTTTCTAAGTGTTGGTGCTGCCCAATAGGGGTGTGGGGGCATTTCACTGTAGTTTGTATTTTGATTAATAAAACTCAATCCTCTAAACACCAGAAGCTTAATTTTTATGTTATTAAGAGAGCATAAGTGGACTTTTCTGTATTCCCATTTTTCTAGTGATATGAAATGCCCAGGTGGCTGCCCAATGCAGTTTACAATTCATGTTACTTTTTAGCCACATGCAAAGAGTTCCTTACCACTACATCTTTTACCATGTGAATAAGTCAAGGGTTGCCTAAGAGTGAATTTGCTGTATATAAATAACCAAATATATAAAGACACTTCAAAAAGTTCATGAAAAAGTAAAATTAAAGGAGAATGTCATATCCACACAAATTTTTGCAGCCTCTATATTTCCTGCACGCCAAAATATTACCTTGATTTTCAGAAAAAAATCATTTTTGTGTACTTTACTGAATTTTTTATCAAAGATGTCAAATTCAGCACAATTATTATTTCATTAATACATTTTGATGTACTTCTAGGGATTTGTGTTTACATGGCTTATATCTGACACAAAATCACAAACAAGAGTAGATAGAACTTCAATTAATTGTAATTTAAAAATACTAATAAGCTATGGAGCAGTTCTGCTCTTGTAACACGGAGTCCCCATGTTTTGGAATTGACTCGGTGGCAATGGATTTTTGGTTCATTGACTTTCACTGACACTGTGAAAAAAGAATGCTTAATAATTTTGTATTAAAATTACTTCATGTAAAATTATACTTTAAAATTCAATTAACCCTTAGGATTAATGATATCATTATTTACACTGATTTGAGTTCAGGAATGGTTTAGAAGCAGGCAAATGGTCTCTGCTTATTGCTTTCCTTCTGTTTTAGGTGGTGTTTGTCTATCCCCAGCTACAATTCATCTCTCATTGCAGTTCCTTCTATATGTGTTGTCTTTGTAGACTAGAAAATAGCACTTTGCTGTATTCAACCATCAACCACATGGAAGGATGAAATAAGCTCTCTTTTTTTCTTTTCTTTTCTTTTTTTTTGTATTGAAGATGCATTTGTTGGCACGCATGTGAAAAGAATAAAATAATTTTTCAGTAACAAAAGATGCTTTAGAATTGAAAAGATTCAACATTGTTAAATATTACCAAGTAGGAACCCTACCTCCTCAAGACTTTGTCGGGGGATATATGCCCTCTTCTGTTTTCCACAGATCCTGCAATGCTGTGTTTGTGGCTCAAGCACATACACCCAGCAGAGTCACTACACATTGACCTTGGCTGACTTATCATCCACGGATTATGACCCATTTCTACCACTGGCAAATGTGAAGAACTCTGAGCCAGTCCAGTATCATTCATCAGCAGAATTGGGTAGCCTGCTTACTGTTGAAGCCGGTGAGTATTCTTTTGATTATAAATTATTCTGGGGCAAGAAAAATAAAATTTGTAGTGTTTCTTTTCTATCTGATTTTTCACCTTCTGATACCTTTTCCTGTCTTAGGAATTCTAATGACTTTTGCATTATTGACCTTTCTCAGACTTCTGGGACATACTAAAAAAGACATATTACCTTGGGCTGTGTAACCATATACAATATGCTTCTTTAAAACCAAAATTTTAAACAAAACACAAAGTAAGAATGAAGACTCACAACTTTATGAAAAGAAACCCTTCCAGATTCCTTACCCCTCAGTCCTAAATATTGGTCTGAATGGCTTTTTTTTTAAGAGAAAAAGTAAAATTGAAATGGACTTGAGTCTTCAGTGACATACAATTTCATTTCAAACAAATGGAAAAAGACTCATTTTCTATCTCCAGGAAGTTTTGCATCTAATGAGAGAAGCAAGACTAGTACAGAGGACTAATTTGTAGACTTGTAGTGTCACGAGTGCTTTCCATGGAGAAGGATTTATGCCCTGGTTAAACGGATGGGTAGACTTTGAAAAATGTTAGTAGAGTGTTCAAGTCTAAAGAAGCATTGTGATGAGAGAGATTGGAATTTGCATGGAATTTAAGTATTAGTATGCTCAGAGTAGAGCGTATATTTTGGGTATGACAGATATTTTTCATGACTACTCACAATGATAAGAGCCTATGTCTGGACTGTGAGTGCATGTAAAACTAGCGAAATGCATGGATTTAAAAATACCGAACTCTGACTGATATTCCTGGATTATAACTTCATCGGTTGTAACATTGGACTATAGTTATGTGAGACATTAGCATTGGGGGAAACTGCTGAAAGGGTATGCAGAATTTGTACGACAACTGCATGTAAACCAGTGGTGGGGTTTAACCTGTTGGCACAGGTTCAGCAGAACTGATACCTAATTTTCTGTTGAGTTTGGTGAAAACCACTTGTTAAAGTGGCGCTCATAATCAGGGTTCTCACAGTAGAAATCAAAAATTTGCATTCTTTACTCTTTTTGTTTTTTTAATTTAAATGGGAGCTCTTAAAGATACTGTAACAATCCATCTTTCATTTAGATCAGGCATAATTGTACAATGCTATCACCAGCAGTTTTGATACATTTTCTTTCTTCTTAAACTCTGATAGTAGCTCCCCTTTATCCTTTACTTCCCCCATCTGACCCCCAGAAACCCTTATTATTATATATTATTATTATTATTATTTGCCATGTCTAACATCATCCACTGTATCTGTTCACCTGCAATTCTGTTAGTCATTCTCCTCAAATGGGGTTATACAGTCATCAGCTCCCCCTTCTTCTCCACACCAACCCCACCATGCCCTTCTTCGCACCCCCTTCATCTCC